TTTAGACCACCTATCATCATCCAGCTAAATAAAACTGCTGGTTGTTCAGCTGAGCAGGGCAATCAACTTTCACAAGAGACCAGAGAGGTTCCCTATTGCGACAACCAGGCGGTTGTCTTCGCGATGCGCAAGCGCGATTTGACGTCGAAGTCGCGGCACATTCGCGTGCACCTGGGCTTCTGCTACGACATGCTCGACTGCGACGGCGTCAAGATCCTCTACGTTGGCACTGAGGTGAACCCGGCGAACGGCCTGACCGCGGCGGAGGCGCCCGATCGGTTCGCCCGGACCATGGACGCCGTCACCGGCCGACTCGGAGAGCCAGAGGGCAAGCCAGCTCAGCTACGCAGCCGGAAAAACAGCGCGCTGTGAGTGTGCAGGTCGGGTTCGAGACCAGGTTCGCGTGCTCACCCGACTCTCACCCAGCTCCCGGTCGTGGCCCGTCGCCACGCCCGACTCGCTGCGGGGGAGCAGAGAGGTTCCCCCAACGTTCCCCCAGCCGGGGAGTTTCACCTGACTTGCAGTCAGGCATTTTCGCGCTACAGAGAGCGTTTAGCGCATAGGAGATGATAGCATTTCCCAACCACCTAGGAGGCGGTTCACTGCAACCTCCCCTTGAGGGAGGATTTTACTTGCTTCCTTTAGCTCAGGCTAGTGGGAGATACGAAAGGCCAAGTGGACGGAAACTACTACAAGTAGCTCTGCCGCTCGTCGAAAATTCGGACCGGGCTGTGTCCTCGATGGGGGGGTACCGCAGCTCGGAGACGGCTGCATCTGAATGACGCGCCGCGTCGCGCGCGCTGCGCTGGCCTACGCCGCGGTCGGCGCTCGGGCGCGGGTCTGCGAGGTCACGATCCAGGTCGACGGCGCGGGCGTAGGCCTCGCCTTCGCGGACGATGCGGAGCTCGACGCCGCCGTGCGCGGGTTCGTGGCCCGCTTCGCGCTGCCCCTCGACCAGATGGGCTGCGCCGACGACGATTGTGCCGTCGAGTACATCAAGGCGCACGCGCGCCTGAACGCCGCCTGCGACGCCGCGCCCTATGGCGACGCCGCGGCGTCCGACGTGGACGCCGCGTCTCCGGACGACGCCGCGCCTCTGGACGACGACGACACCGCGCGGTCCGAGCCCGACGCCACGGCGGACGCCGGCGAGCGCGAGGCCGCGGGCGAGGCCGCGCCGGCAGGAGCGGCGGCGCTCCTCCCGTCGACGCTCGAGGACTACGTGACCCTGTGGATGGTCGCGTGGTCCGCGTGCTTCGCCGTCGCCGCCGCGGTCGCGGCGCTCGATCGCGCGCTCGACCTCCGCGTCGAAG